GCATGGCGTCCCGCGTCTTGGCCGGTGCCGTGAGAGCCGCTTCAGGTCAGTGAGCGGCCCCAGGTCCGGGTGCTTCTCCTCGGGCGGGGCGGGTGGAGGGTGCAGTCCGCGTTTAGCAGGGAGGGGGCCATCCCTGGATTCCCGAGAGGCCCTGATGGGCCCCGCGTGTGCGGGGCCGGCTCCCCGCGGCAGAGTCGCGCGGGCCTGGTTGTCTGCCGCCCTCCTCCTCTCTTAACATGTAAACCAGGGACACGGCCTCAGCTTACTTTTATGGTTGGAGGCCAGGCCAGGCCCCGCCACTCAACTTTGACCTTGAAAACTTGAATTCATTTGTTTCGAGTTTCGGATTCTACAGCTGTCAGGTGGGGCCAATGGCACTTGCTCCGGGCTCACAGTAATTGCCGCGTGACACACACAACGCGGACACTTTTCTAACTGCAGCCTTCAGAATTGGGGGTGGGTGGGTGGAGTCTAAAGGATTTCCTGCCAGAGTGACCCGGAGGAACCCCAAACCCACTGCCACCGAGTCAGCTCCCACTCAAAGTGACCCTACAGAGTACACCTCTCAGAGCTGCCCCATGGGTTTCCGACCCCTGGTCTTTAAGGAGCGAGCCAGGGGAGCACTTATGTATGAAGAAAGCAGACGTGCAGTCTTGGAAACCCACAGGGGCATTTCTGCCCTGTCCTATAAGGTTGCTGTGAGTAGGAATTGCGTCCAGGATGTGAAGTTTTTAGCGTCCCAAGTAACAGGCGTCCAAGCAGGTAAATCATGTTGTCTCACTAGTCTTAAGGGCTTGCTGCACAATGTTTAAAAGTCATTCAAAGATGATAGTTAAATGATTTTCATACAAAATATATTATGTTACAAATTTCTTTGCAAGAGGATTAAAAATAGGTTGAAGAAGAAAAATGCAAATATATGGATTTTCCAACTTGTGAGATTGTAAAAAAAACTTTTATGACATGCATGGATTTAATAAATAACTAAATCATACAAGTGGATAACTAATACCATGGACAACACATAGAACGTGATGCCACCAGAAGCCCTTTCCTCCACCCTTTTGTACTTCCCCACTTTCCCCAAGGGTCAGCACTGTTCTTATTTCTTAATTACCCTCTTGCCTTTTTTCTATAATAGGAATAAAATAATAGCTTCTCTACATGCATCTCAATAATATTTTGCTTTGCCTCCTTTTGAACACAGCATCAGTGAAACCACATGCAGTGAGTGATACCTTGGTTGTCCAATGACTCCAAGCTTGAACTTTCCACTACTTGAATAGCCAAGTGAGAAACAGATCTTTGCGGGGTTTGTAACTTTTGGACCAAAAATACGACTTGAAAAACTTGTACGGGCCAAGAGTGAGTCAAGTCTCTCATCTTGCTGTGGACACAAAGGGTGGGTGACACTTCTGTGTCAGCACCACTGTCAGTCAGACTACATATAGTGCTGTGTTAGTGCATTAAAACATTTGCTATTGTGATATTTTTTGGGGGGGTGCTTTATTTAACATTGTAACCACGGCTTCCCAGAAATTTAGTAATACCAGCAGCAAAGCTAAGAGGCTAACTGAGAACCATTAATAGTTGAAGAAAGAAATGATGGTGAAATTTTAATCAGGACGCCACTTGTCTGATTTGGCAGCTGATGACAACATGGCTAAGTCGACATTATCAACAGTAAAATACGTATATATGACTCAAGCAACACATGTAGCGAAAGATGTGAAATCATTCTGATGAAACAAAGAGCCCAGACTATGGAAGACGTTGAAAAGTTGCTGTTAATTTGCATAAGTCAGAAACAGCTTGATGGCGATAGTGTGTCTGAGACAGTGACATGCAAGAAGGCTAAACACCTCCACAGTGATTTAAAGTCCAGGAAAAATGAGTTTATAAATGTAAGTGTGGAGTCTCAAAACAAATTATTTGGTTTTCCATTATTTCTTAAGGGGAAAATGTTTAGTTCTTGACTTTTTCATTGTTCAAAGACGACTTGAGTTTGACACCCAAGGTATCACTGCCGTGCGGATTCTTCAGTGCCTGGCCTCTTTCTCACGGTGGCATGCTTGCTTGCTTGCTTTCTTTGATAATGAAATTTATTTTTTCAGTTTATTTTATAATCGTTTTATTAGGGGCTCATACAACTCTTATCACAATCCATACACACATCAATTGTGTAAAGCACATTTGTACATTCGTTGCCCTCATCATTCTCAAAACATTTGGTCTCGACTTAAGCCCCTGGCATCTGGTCCTCTTTTTTCCCCCTCCCTCATGAGCCCTTGATAATTTATAAATTGTTATTTTGTCATATCTTGCCCTGTCCAACGTCTCCCTTCACCCACTTTTCTGTTGACCGTCCCCCAGGGAGGAGGTCACATGTAGATCTTTGTAATAGCTTCCCCCTTTCCAACCCACTCTCCCTCTACACTCCTAGTTTCACCACTCACACCACAGGTCCTGAAGGGATCATCCACGCTGGATTCCCTGTGTTTTCAGTTCCTATCTGTACCAGTGTACATCCTCTGGTTCAGCCAGACTTGCAAGGTAGAATTGGGATCATGGTAGTGGGGGCTGAGGAAGCATTTAGGAACCAGAGGAAAGTTGTATTTCTCATCTTTGCTACATTCATGCTGCTCAGGCCTTGGCACTTTCCATTGCTGTGAAACTCCCTGCCTTGAGGCCATTCCAACTCACAGTGGGTTTCCGAGATTGTCGATCTTTTTTTTTTCCTTTCTGCTATTGGAATTCTTTATCGAACTAAAAAGCCTTATCTTTCTCCCATGGAACAGCTAGTGGTTTAAAACGGCTGACCTTGCAATAGGTCATTTTATTGATTTATAGGCATTCTTTAGTCTTTTTATGAGTCTTTTATCATTTATGTGTATTTCCAGTATTTTTTATTCTCCCATCCTGGCTTGTGTCTTTATTTAGAGTGTCTTTTTTTTCTTCAAGTGTGATTGAGAGAAAGTTTAGAGTAAGTTGATTTTCCATTCAACAATTTATGTACATTTTGTTTCAGATCTTTGGTTGTAGTTCCCACAATGTAACAGCATTCTTCCCATTCCCTCCTGAACTTCCCATTTACGTCCCTCTTTCTTATCCCTTCCTGTCCTCTGAGCCCAGTAGGCCTGTTTGTTTAGAATTTTTAATTTTGTTCCACATTTTATCTCACTTTATCCAAGGGCTTTGAACGAGGTCCTTTTCAGGGTAGTTGCTAGTGGTAGTGGGCCCTTCTCGTTCTGGTCTCAGGGCTGTGAGGGACGGTGCCCCGCGATCCATTCTCAACTCACTGCCGTCAAGTCGATGCCGACTCATGGCAGCCCTGCAGGACAGAGTAGAACTGCCCCTGGGAGTTCCTGAGACTGTAACTGCATAGGAGTAGAAAGCCTCATTATTCTCCTTGGGAATGACTGGTGGCTTCCAACTACTAACCTTGTGGTTAGCAGCCTAACACATACTGAGCCACCAGAGCACCTCTGGAAATTGGGACACATTAATGACTTGGTACGCTTGGTTGCTTTGATACATCACTTAATTTTAAGTATCTGGATGCCTGTTTTGATGTATCATTAAGTGTACCTGCTTCTCTCTGTTTTTACAGGATTCTTACGGCCCTTGAGTATTTTGGCATCTTCGGCCAATCAAAACTGTGCCAAGAATGCGTGTCTTGTCTCTGCATTGTCCACCCGACATTTTAGTCAGCTGCAAACACCAGTTGTTTCCTCTGCTCTCAGACTGATTACCCCTGTGGGAAACCTGCCGTGCTGGCTGCCTGCACCAACCCTCAACAGGTAGTCTCTTTCAGTAAATTTGACATTTGGGCGAAACTTCTAAAATGTTCACACCTGCAAAGACATCGTAAAGCAGGTGAAACACTTTGCCTGCGTACTGTATACTATGAAGATTTTGCCTGTTCGAGTCGGGCAATGTGATCACCACCTGTGCAGCTGCGTGCACAGCAAGGACTGCCAAAGGGAAGCCCCTCTGTTAGCCGTGTATGTGGCTTCCTGGCGGGGGCTGTCAGCCAGAGGAGGGTAAACAAGATGCTCAGCTATAGGGGTGGGATGTGTGGTATTGTCATCTAGTCACCAAATGTGCGGTATATGCAGACCAGGACAACCCAGCACTGGACTTGGCAAAGAGGAGGCAAAGTTAGAGGCAGAAGTCAGATACATGAGAAACCAGGTGATTGCAATGTAGTAGGAGACACTCTCTTCTGGGGTGGAGGGAAGTGGGTGATGGAAGGCTTGCAAATCAATAACTTCAGTTCTTAGGCCTAGTGGTCATGGAATAGATTCTCTTAATCTGCTAAGCAACTTATATGTGTATGTGTGTGTGTGTGTGTTTTAGGGTGGGTCCCTTGCTTTCTAATGTCCTGAAGCTACCAGTCAGAACTCTAACTTACTACAGTATAAGAAAAGGCAAGAGAAAGACTGTGAAGGCTGTCATATATCGGTTTCTTCGACTTCATTCTGGCCTGTGGGTCAGGAGAAAGGTAAGTCTCCGCCCTGTACTTGATTTAACATGGATGGAAGCAACAGATGAAAAGAAACAGAAGTCCTTGAACGTTTTATCACTGCCATCTCCTCCCCTAACTGGCCCCAGCAGGCTGTACAGGGCTGTGCTTCTGCGCTGGCTTTGTAGGCGCCCCTTTCTGGGAGGGACTTCATGTGAAGAAACAGGTCAGCATCCACTAAACACACCCTTTCATAACAGCTTATTTACAACGACAAAAGGCTTCACTGTGGGACAGGATTCACCTCAGTTGTTGACATGTTGTGTATCTCATGGAGTCCCACGAAACCCCTAAATGCCTGGCTCTGTGTGGAGGTCCTTTTTCAACAGTGGAGCAATCCAGTGGCAGAATAGACCAGCCTGGACTGGGGTCATGATCCAGATTTGGGGACTGAAATGGTTTTCATCCTACTTTGGATTGGATTTTCTAGATAACTTAATTGCTTTTTTAATAACTTTTATTGTGAATCAATTTTGCATTCAACAGTTGAAACGTCTTATACCCTCTTAATAGCTCACCCTGTCCCCACCCCATGATTCCTCTTAGCCCTGAACACTCTCTTCCCATCACCCACTTCAACACCTATCAGGCAGCTTAATTTTTATGGCAGAACATTAATCTCAGATACTTTAAAACATTGGTTTTTACAAACGTTTTTCCTGATTCAAGCTCCCTGTCATCACATCGATTAGGGCACAGTGACCCTCTGGGGAGAGCAGAACTGCTTCTGGGGGTTTCTGAGACGATTCATAAGCATCTGCCAAGTGGTATGGGTTTGGTTCGGCTAGCATAGTGCTGTAAAGAGCCCTTGTCTTGAAGAGGCCCTGGGCCCCGGTCAGCGGACGGGTTTCTGCTCTTCCCTCCCCTTGGTAGTTTGCTGTGGCTTGAGCCATTGTTGAAGCAGGCTGGCATTTAAGGTCTCGTCCAAACAGGCTATGATTATATTTTTTACTAAAAAGCAAAGTCACTGAATCCATTTCAGTTCATAGCACCTTGGTAGACAGACGGCCCCATAGGGTTTTGAAGGCTGCAATCATTATTGGCTGTGGGGTCAGACCATGAAGCTTTTGGTTCGCAGTCAAGCACTTTAACCACTGTGCCATCAGGGCTCCTTAGAGGTTTTCTGTTTAGTCTTACTTTGCTTTGTGAGAAACTAACAATGCATCAGTGGTGTTTATGGTAGTTCTGGGTTAAGTAATTGAGGTAACAACTCCCTCGCCATCTCTAAATAGATTTAGGGCAGTGGTTCTCAACCTTCTTAATGCTGCAGCCTTTCACACAGTTCCTCGTGTGGTGGTGACCCCCAACCTTAAAATTATTCTCGTTGCTTCTTCATCATTGTCATTTTGCTACTGTTATGAATCGGGTGACCCCTGTGAAATGGCTATTCAACCCCCAAAGTACTTCCTCTAAAAATTAGTTCTGAGTGTGTGAAGCAGGAGAAAACACAGTTTTCTGCTCCTGGAAAGAGCTACGGTCTCTGAAACCCACAGGGCCATTCTTCCCTGTCCTGTTGGGTCCCTGTGAGTTGGAACCAACTCAGTGGCATTGAGTTTGGTATTTTGGTGTGGAAAGAATAAATGAAGCAATACATTCAATAATGGTGTCTCTCAGCCCTCTGAAGTGAACTTACCGTGCTAGCCAGTTCTCCCTTCACCATCTCAGTCAGATGGGCTTCAGAATAGTGGTTAAGAACTTTTACTAGCTCTTGGACGTTGGTCTGCTGACAAACGGTGCTTTTGTTTTATCAAATCCATAAATGAGTGTGTTAGGCCAGGTTGACTAGAGCAATAAATCCAGTGACATTCATAAATGTGTAAGAGAGAACTTTTTATCAAAAAGTAGTTATTTGTCAAGCAAACATCCCAGCCCAGGCCAGATCAAGTCCCTAAGTCCGACACTTGTCCATAAATCCCTCTTCAGACTCACACAGCCACATGCAGGGATGCAGACAGGATCAAGGCCGGTGGGGGCAAGGTTGCTTGGATCCATTGGCGATGGCCCCATCCCAGGGCTTGAGCAGGTCTCAGCGTGGCTCACCAGCAGGAAGGTGAAGGCAGGGGGCGGGGAGGTTCCCAGGACCCTCCTTATGAAGTCACACCCACAAGGAGGCACCCTCAGGCTGTGACCTGATTGACAATCTTGACTCCACCCCTACACTTTTATATCTACAAGTTGACACAAAGAGTAACTACCACAGAGAGTATGTTGTTGAAGAGATACGATGTTGCTAAAGAGATAATGCATATAAAGTTCGTGATTAGCATTCCTTACCACCATGATGTGCCCCATGGGTGTATGTGAACACCATGTTAAATTAACATCTTATGAAGTTGCACTCCTCCTTGTTCTTGTAGTTACTGGAGGAGGCCAGAGGAAGGCGTAAGAGGGCAGGCAACTGTGGGAGCAGAGGAGCAGGAGTAGCCACCACTGCTGCCACTTGCCTGCCTGACAAAGCCAATATTCCATGTCTAGAGCTATGTCTCACCTACCCGTAACCTACCCATGGTCCAGTTCTGCAGGAATCTGGGTTTGGGTGTTTAAAATCATTCCGAGGAAATAATAAGCAGGAGGGCTGCTTTCCCTTTAAAACCAAACAACCAACCCTAGAGGCCACTGAGTATATGCATTCGATGTCACACAAAAGGCCATTAAGTGAGCTATACTTGTGTATTCTTTCACTTTGTTTTCTGTGGTTTTAATTAATCTCCCCCCCAAAAAAATGTTAAATTACTTATTTAGTATTGCAACTACCTGCTTTCTCCACTCACCAGTAAGACTCACATCTTTCCAAAGAACATGCCCGCCCCAATAGATGTCTGTTTTTGTCCCCATTAGGCCGATAAGCCACAAGTAGAGAGAGACAATACCTTGTTTCCTACAAAATAAAATGTTTTATGCCTTTGTAACATTCGACAGGCCGGCTATAAGAAAAAGCTGTGGAAAAAGACAGCTGCAAGGAAGAGACGCTTGAGAGAATTTGTCTTTTGCAATAAAACCCAGAGCAAACTCTTGGATAAGATGACGACTTCTTTCTGGAGGAGGAGAAACTGGTATGCTAATGATCCTTACCAGCTGTACCATGATCGCACGAACCTGAAAGTATAGAGCTGAAGTGTGGGGAGTTTTCCCAGCCGCTGAATGTGTGCCCTTCATGTGTATGCCTTTTCAAAGAGGAGTCCGTGTAACGTGATGATGTAAACTGCACCAGCTGATGTATGTAATCCTGTCTCAACCACATTAAAACTTAATGGAGTAAACATTCCTTGCTGTGGTCAGGGAAACGGTGCATTCTTTTTAATAAATGGTCGTGGCGACTGCTGTTCCAATTAGCTTTCAACTTCTACATGTTGGCCCTCAGCTCCATGTCAAGTCTCTTAACTGCCGAGTGACTCCAGTGGTGCTATCTGGTCCTTTCATGCCTCGGTGACCTCCCTTGTTGGAACCCACCCTGGCCCACTCAGTGGTGTTTGCACCAAGTAATATGGAGCAAAAAGGGTTAGCTGAGCATTTCCAATTGAGAGGAGCGTGGGCCGGCAGTCCTCTTGACATCTAGTGTACTGGCTTCGTTGTGCTCCTGCGTCCAGGATGTTTCTGGGGGAGAAGAGTCCGTGAAACAGCACCCATCAAACCCGTTTACGAAACAGAAGAGGTTACTGGGGTGGACAAGGTTACAAGAGGTGTTGAAAGATAGTGTATTTTCAAAATAGTTTTATTCACATATAATTCACATACAATTCAGTAGTTCAATCATATTCAGAGTTCTGCATCATCACCACAATGAATTTTAGAACATTTTCTTCTTTTTTGTAGTCATTGTCATTAGCCCTTAGGTAATTATTAATCCAATCACTGCCTCTAAAGCTTTCTTCATTTTAGATTTCATATGGAGAAATACAAAATAGAAATAAGGAGATACTGTATTTTTTAAAAATTAGTCTATCCTTGAGATTTCATATTTTCGCTTGTGAGGGTAAGATGCGCTGTAGAAGGAAAGAAAAAGCCTCAATCCTTTGAGAAATGATGTCAGAAGTAAGCATTTTTCACTTGGAGAGAGTCATGAAGTCAAATTCAGTTAGCTGAGTGATTATATTCTAAGGCAGTGGAACCTCTGGGAAGCATTTTCAAATGAGAGCTTTTTCTGGTTGAAAACCATCACTAAGTAGAATGGAGAAACAGTGACGATCAGGTGAAGTTCCTCCATTGTTCATGGGAGAAAGGAGAGACAAACTACTAAGGTTCTGTGGCCTGTCCGATTGGGAAGGGAGCCCTGGGAAGCAGTGTGTGTGCATCAGAAGGAGAGGAAAGGATGACGAGAGTAACGTAAAGCCAGACCACCAAGTGTGTGTGTGTGTGTGTGGATGGGAGTTGTTTAAAAAGGACTGTTACTTGGTGGTGCGATCAGAGCCCGACACACGGGGTAACATTCACTTTTGATGGGTTTGCATTTCCTCCCACTTCGGAGACGGCAGAAACCAGCCACTCGCAAGGCCCTGACATCGCTTCTCACCTGACCAGCTCCCGCCCTCTCCACTGAGCTTGGCAGTGTATGGCACTGCTGCCCATGGACTGGGGAGGAGCGTTAGTTCCCAGTGTCCATGATGGCTTGACTGTAAATGTGGCCCACACAGTCTGCTGGGCTGAGTACACCCTGGCTTCTCTCGGGCTGGTGGAACGGGGCCAGGACCACAGCTTCCAGTGCGAGGGCTGACAGGCATGGGTTAGGGGAAGGGGGAGTCTCCTATCTACTGATTCTGCTTGTGCGTCGCAGGGGTTATCAACACTGATTTTGTTGTCTGACAAACATCCTGCATTAAGTGAGAAGGTTCTACTTGCAGGGGAAGCTTCTGAAAGTTCTGGAAAAGTGGAATTAACAAGAGAATGGTATTTCCCCACAAACTCGAGTCCCCCCATCCTTGAGCATCTGTAGGAGCTTATGTTATTGACTGTGGCCTCTGTCCCAGCATAGGGCTGGGCACTTAACCTGTCCAACTGCTAATCCCCTGCCAGCCCTACAAAGGAGATACCATGATTCATCCCAACTTCAGATTTGAGGAAACAAAGAGAATGTTAAGCAAATGTCCCCCGAAGTTTAGAAAATGTGTCCCAGAACCCAGGTCTAACTCCTTGGAATCCTGTGCATTCCCCTGTCTTCTAACATGAAGTGCAGCTGGAAGTCCGCAGGGACTGCAGTCTCACAGTGTGAATCCTGGGACGCCCTCACGGCACGACCGGTGCCATCTGACAGCTGTTAGCCTGGTTAGTCTCAGTTCTGCTGCGTTGGATCTGGTTCAGGAAATTAAGAAATGAATGAATTTTCGATCTTTCTCATTCTTTTGTCACTTACTGTACGTTGTCTTTTACTTTAACGTGTTTACTATCTAGTTAATGGTTTTCTCTCCCCTCCCCTTCTGTCCCTGGTAATGGGCCAAGAATGTTTCTTTCTGCGTGTAAACTTGTCCTTGACTTTTCACAGTGGTGAACCCCTACAATCGTTGTCCTGTTTGATGGACTTGTCTCGCTCAGCACAATGTCCTCCAGAGGCACCGCTGTATGAGGTGCTTCCCGATTAGGATTCGTGTTCACTGTGTGTATGGACATTGGTGGGCTTGTGCCCATCTCTTCTTCCTCCTTTTCAGTCCTCTGACTCAGCTCCTTCACCTGCGACAGTAGCTTCATTGTACAGTCCTTTAAAGTTCTAACAGCAAAGAAAATGGGCCTGTCACCAAAGAACAAAAACTCATATCGTGAATGAGGGGGAGTGTGGAGTGGGGACCCGAAGTCCATCGGTAGGTAGGCAACTGGACATCTTACAGAAGGGTTGTGGGGAGGAGACAAACCAGTCAGGGTTCTTTAATGCTTCTTCCCTCCCGCTATCATGACCCCAGTTCTACCTTATAAATCCAGCTAGACCAGAGGATGTACACTGGTACAGATAAGAGCTGGAAACACAGGGAATCCAAGACAGATAAACCCCTCAGGATCAATAATGAGAGTAGTGATACCAGGAAGGTGGGGGAGAAATGGGGAACTGATCACAATGATCTACATATAACCCCTCTCTGGGGGACGGACAACAAAAAGTGGGTAAAGGGAGACGTCGGCCAGTGTAAGACATGACAAAATAATTATAAACTATCAAGGGCTCGTGAAGGAGGTGGGGCAGGGAGGGAGGGAAGGGGGAAATGAGCTGATACCAAGGGCTCAAGTAGCAAATGTTTTGAGAATGATGGTGGCAACAAATGTACAAATGTGTTTGACACAATGGATGTATGTATGGATTGTGATAAGAGTTGTATGAGCCCCCAATAAGGTGTTTAAAAAAAAAGAAAGAAAATGGGCCCATGTTCAATTTTGAGGTTTTGGATTTTGTGTGACTCTAAGCTTTGTACCACTCATTTTTTTTAAAGGCGAGGACCACAGCTGTGTTGAAGGTGTGCACACCACTCCCAGGTACCCAACACACACACACACACACACACACACACACACACACACACACACACCACACACTTTAACCCTGAGGAACCGGTTCAGAGAAGGGAAAGAATGAAGGCGCATCTGCACAGTTCAGTCTTTGCGTGCCAGGTTACCTACTCTGTATTTTCATAGCTATCCAGTATCCGTAGTGATCTTTTAAACATGTAAAAAAGCAGTGCTGGCATGTTAGTGTCTGTGTGATCAACCTGTTTCCAAAACACTCATGATCTCATAGTTCTCCCTCCCCACAATCCTCTGCAGGAGCCTGAGGCCAAGTCAGAAGGGCAGTGAGTGGATGAGCACCTTGCTACCTTCCACACGTTTGATTGGTTTATCTGTTCTCTTTCCTTCTAAACCCAACATTACAAAGCCTTTTTTAAAAAGAAAAATGTTAAGACTTTATTTTTTCAAGATGTATATCAGGCATCATAACACAACAGCAGAACATTGCCCTTTGGAATACTGTAATTTTACAACCCTCCTATGCACAGTCCAGTATGCTCGTTTATGACGGACCATTCATGGGGACTACTGGAGATAAGGGGGGAAGTGGGCACAGCTTCGATCCGAGAGACCAGCTCTTTGTGCCGGGGCAGAGGCGGGAGTACTGCCTTCGCTGTTTCAAATACTGCACCTTGAGCGAGTGGGGAGGAGCTCTGATGATGGCTGGGCACCAAGCTGTCATCACAGACACATGGACAATTGACTACAGAGAACACGCACGTCAAAGGCCTGCCCAGGGAGCAAGTGAGTCACACGAAGCTAGGAGGGAGTGTGACTCAACTCCCTCCCATGCACAAGTCCAAGACCACAACTCACCTTCCCGAAAACAGGCGCTCAATTAACTAAAAGTTATCACAGGAAAATGACAGCCTTCCGAGCTAGCATATTGGAAACCGCCTGTGTGTGTACGCCTGCAGATTAGGAACACTGTACAGCCTCTCGACAGAACACCACGCCACTACGTGTACACTTGCAGGCATTCACATTTTTATGTCAGTCCGTACACAGGTACACAGCTTGGTGGATGGGTATACACATTTTGCCATAAATACGACAGCTGCTCTTGGTTATACAGTGAGTGTCTTTAAGAGAGAAACCAACTCCTTAACCAACATTGAAAGAGAAAAAGTCACATTGCCATTAAGACAGCAGTTTAGATACCTTGATATTCTTTAAAAACTTGTGAACGAGAAGTCATAACACCATGTCAGAGAAGAGTGCTTCCAGCTTTTTTTTTTTTTTTTTGGCATAATGAGCGCACACTTGACAGCCTATACTTACGCAAACTTCCCAGCGTAAAGCAGGGTTTTCATCTCTGCTGCGGAAGGCGTTTCATATTTTGGCAAGAAGAAAAAACAGTGCTAAAAAGCTGCTTAACTTAAAGTTTTTCTGCATTTTCCCCCTGGTAATTGTGGGTCCTCTCAATAACAGGTAAGTTTTTTTTTTCAGGTAAGCATATTTTAAAGAATATTTTCCTCTGTCTGAAGCTATTCATTGCGCTTGAAGAAAACAGGTCCTGTCTCCCAGCAGGTTTAGGTGGGGCGGGGCGGGGGGCACAGACAATGAGCAGATGGCCTCTCGGGCCTGCAACCACAAACCTACTTGTAGATCTCTTCCCCTACTCACTTTAGTAAATGACGAAGCACAGTCGGTGGAACTGTGGGGAGAAGGGGCTTCAATACGCATACCTGGCAACAATCAGCATCACGTAAAACCCTGTCAGGTGGCTAAGAGCCAGCTAAGTGCCATCAGCAAGGGCCACTGAGGTACCTGGTGCTGCTCAGTAATGCGACAGTCTTTACCAGGCCTCTGATGTCGATTGACTGTTATGTGTGATGCAGAACATAGTTCCCTCGTCTTCAGGGCATACGTGCCAACAAACGCGATACAAATACGAGTAAGTAACAGGGTGGGGCCGCTGCATGCATCACACTTAACGAAAACACCAACTCTAAGCACAAATACATGAGTCCTGCCACTAGGCTCAACTCCCAGAGGGGAGAGCAGCTACCTCTGACCACATTGCCCTTTCAGCCAGGCTTTTTCCATACAGAGTTGAATCCCCCAGAGAATGCCCTCCTCCCTTCCTTAGGCGAGCCAGGCTTGTCTGTCGAGTGTCCAGTAAGACCTCGAGCACCCAGGAGGCAGACTCCTCTCTCCTTCACCTTCCGTCCAAGCCAGTGAGGAGGCGGGAGAGCGTGGGTCCCAGCTGCCCAGGATCTGAGGAGCAAGTCTTCCTTACAGACATCTCAACCTCAGACCCTCCCAGAGACCTGTATCCTTATTGCCATACATCTTTCTGAAGGAAAGTGTATTTGTTCCTTATTTTCCTTTCAAACGAGGTATGGTATTCCAGGTGTAGGCTTCACCCAGGGACAAGCAGCATGGGTGACTGAAGGAGAAGCAGTCATTTGCCAAATACACTTGAAACAGAATTGTCCTCAGCCCTGCGAGTCCACATCCCCAGGGTGAGTGACCTGCCCCCACCCCCCAGGCTTCAGAAGCTCCTGATCCAGAATCCAAGGGGGAGATGGGCATCTCTTACCCCAGCCTGTCCCTCTGACCTTACCACACTCCTCCCTGTCCCTAGAAATGTGCCTCGGCTTCTCTGGTGTGTGGGTGACATCTGCCTGGGAAAGATGGGTCCACCAGCTGCTGGAGAAGGGACACTGCACCTAGATTGCCTTTGGATGTTTCAGAAGCACATCTGAGACAGTCTCTAGAGTCAAAAAGGTTGTTTACAATTCTGGGTTTGGGTTCTTGTTCTCTTGTTTGTTTTGCCATTTCCTTACACAGCAGAACCTCTGGCAGCCTTGCAGGCCCTTCATAGTACACCAAAAGCACACGTATATACACCATCGTCCTAAGATTTAGTACCAAGGACAAAATATACACCACCATCCTAAGAATTAGTACCAAGAACAAAAACAAAACAAAACACTTTTTAAAAAATGGTTTTGTTTGCATATACATGGCTAAAATCTAATTATGCAACAGATAAATTACAAATGTACATCTCAGTAGGATGGGGGCGGGGGACTCTTGCACGTGTGGGAACACCACTGTCTATGAGGACAATTCCACTGCGGAAAGCTACTGCCCTCAGAGGGCTTCAAAGTCACCCCTCCCACACACTACCTTAACCTTTAGCCTCTCCCAAGAAGAGAAAAGAAAAGAAAAACGGGGTGGGGGATTGGAGAGGGAGAGGGAGAAGGCTGTGAGGCTGCACACTTGGGGCGCACCAGCGCGGCTTCTGCTCTCGGTGAATAGCTCTTTAAGGCAGAGGAGAAACATTCTGTAGATCCCGGTCCGTGGCCTCATCTCACTCACGTGGTTTCAGTGGCCGAGGGTGAGGTACTTTTCTTCCTGAAGCGAGATCGGAGGGTTCTAGGCGGTGCCTGGTAGAGAAAAGGCAGAGAAAATCAGGCGCCCCTCAGCTTGGCAACCACAGACTCTGAGGACAGCATCCAAGTGGGTGTGGGGTATGTGGGGTAGGGGGTCACCCTGAGTCTCCACAAGAGGTGCCAACCCCTAGAGTCACCACTACCCTGGACAGCTCAATCTCAGCGACTTCACCCTCGCAGGTGCCCCTGGGTCTCCTAGCAGGTGCTTGTGTGGAAGGGTGACACTTCGTTCTAGCTCCTACCCCGGGGGCATCAGGATCATGACAAGAGAACCCCCATCCCTACCCCCAACCCCAGCGAGAAACGCCTCCCCCGTAACTCCCTGGTCTTCTCTAGTTCCTCTTGGAACCAGCCTGGGGTTTCTTGGCCCACGGTGAAAATGTCCTAAGTCCCCAGTCCCCCCTTCTCGATGGGAGACCCCCGAGTGCACCACCTGACGCGTACAGGGTTCCACCTCATCTCACCAACAAGTCGTCATCGAGGATCCCTCCTGCTCCGCTGGGTACACCCATTCCATGATGTGACATAACAGAACGATGTTCTCCCAGCCTAGCACACAACTGGCCGGCCCTCAAGCCCTGTCTATCTCTGTCCACGTCCCTCTCTGCGCTGAATGTCATTTTCCTCTGCTGGTTTTCTTCACGTCTGTTCCTTTGGGCTGGACGCCCTTCTGTCTTACACATCCCTAGCCCTCTGTGTTGTTCTTTGTTCCCTGGGGCTGGGGCCAACTCAAAGCATCCCATCTGTGGGGGGTTTCACAGCTGTGACCCTGTGGAAGCAGATCGATCGCCAGACCTGTCTCCTGAAGGGTCTTTGGAAAGTAGTGGAGCACTTAAGCCCCTGTCCAGGCGTATGCCCGCCCCAGGGCTCCTTCATCCACTCATAGCATTCTACACGCCGCCACCCAAGGTGCGGGAAGCAGAACTTTCTCCCTGTCCCCACACGCCCAGACAACTTCCTGAGGGCAAGGCTGGGTCACAGTCACCACTATTTCCCAGTGACGTTCCCAGTGCCAGGCAAGCGAGGGAGTAAGGAGTCAGGGACTGGGAGGCTTGTCCTCGTGCTGGGTTGTAAGGCTGGGCCACTGAGCACCCACCCCTGGAGGATCCAGAGGAGCGGGTGGGACCCACACTTTTCATGACCTGATGGGCTGTTGGTGTCAACAGCAAAGGGGCTTGAGCTGCTTTGAAAAGCAACACCCCAAAGGCCTCGCCGTCACTCTGGCCAGGGCCCCTCTCCTTGTGGGGGGGGGGGGGGCTGCCCGGCCTGGCATGTCCAGATGAGCTCCTCAAGAAGCATCCACCTCAGGACATCTCTTACCCAGACCCTCGAGCTTGCAAACAGGTCCTTGTGGGCCTCGCCTGGGAGAGAGGTTGGGTGCCTAGTACCAGCTGTCTGAGTGTGCACACAATGACTGCATTCGCAGAGGGGAGCGTTTCAAAGCCTCTTCTCAGCTGGTTCCCACAGGGCTGTGCTCGGTGGACAGAGGATTCACAGATGGCCTCTGGCCTCACGGCAGATCACCAAGAAGAAGGGAGACAGGAGGAGGCAGAGAGACTCCCCACCAATTCTGCCCACTGCGTGCAGGCTGCTGACTTGCTCCCTACTTCCCAGCCAGGCCGGCAGGGGAGGGTGGGGTGGGGGGTGGGGCTTCTCAAGGCTCGCCCTTCCTGCTGCCAACCATAGTCACACCTGGGTACAGGGCAGGTGTGGTGTGTTTGCTAACTTTAAAGAACACATCCTGAACTTTCTCCCCCACCCCCAAAGTTCTTCTGGGTGGCTTTCCACTTGCACGTGATCTTCAGTTCGTTCTTAATAGTAAAGGAAAATCACGGCAGAGACAAACCTCCATGCTTTACTGCTCCCCTCTGCTCTAAATAAAACGACGACGACGGTATTTTCCCTGCCCTCCAGCAAGTAGCTGGATCCGACACAGGAGCTTGTCCTGCCTATTGGGTGCAGGTGGACTGCCCACCCCAGGCACTCAGGAAATGGTGGGTGCCCTGAAAGGTGCTGCTGCCCAGTCACCCAGGTCGCCAGGGCAAAAGCCCTGGTGCACACAGGCTCCAGCCCGCAGCCCCAGGCACCCTGTACCTCCAGGGACAAGTCCGGCTTTCGAAGGGCCTTATACTTGTACATGAAGTCCAGCAGGTCTTCCTCCTTGTCGTCAGAAAACGCCCGTGGGTTTTGGAGCCGCAGGGGCTCCCAGGCCTTCACACCACCCTCATTCACTTCTCCCTCAACCACTTAATGTCCATTGACAATCTACACAACAGGGGAGACAGAGTACAGCGAGGGCGGGGAATCAGTCATGGAGACGAGCAGGGAAGGGCAGGCGAGGATGAGGTTAGGCATACCGCACCACAAGCCAGGCCTGTTAGGAGAGCCGCGCTGAGCCCCAGAAGAAGTGGTCGTGGTCCTAGGGATTCTGGCAGGGGCTCATGGGGTGATGGGGAGAGTGAAACAGGGTGTGTGTGTGTGTGTGTGTGTTATGGTTGGGGTGTGTTGGCTCCTGGGGTGATGGGGAGAGTGAAACAGGGTGTGTGTGTGTGTGTGTGTTATGGTTGGGGTGTGTTGGCTTAGTAAGAACTATGTGCATGGAACAACTCGCTTCTGGGTCTACAGTAAGCCGTGAACAGCTATGATCTGTGCGGGCGGGCCCCCATGCCCAGAGAAAAAGAAGCCTCCTTCACTGAGCCCCTTAGCTCAGACTGCCAGGGCCAGAGATGCTTCTAGAAAGGCAGGGAGAATTCTCAGTCTCCATGCAAAGCAGTGTTGATGGTGATCCCGCTGGCACACGCAGCTCCAGGCATTCTGTAAACCGCCAGGAAGCCTTAAGCTATAGCCCGAAATGGATTTTTAATTTGCAAGGTCGAGTCCTAGAGAAGCAGGGGGCCTCAAGAGAGGGGGACCTGATCATAGGCTCCCCACTTCAAATAAACAAAAACGACAGCCGTCCACATCTTGGAGCACCTTGAACAAAGCCGCAGTGAACGCTGTGGGAGGAGTCCATCCCACCTGAAGGAAGCACTGCCCTTTGACAATGCTGCCCACGAATCCACCTCCCCGGTCATCTGGCCAGGGAGCCAGCGCTGAGCAGAGAGCTAAGAGTTTTCCGTTCAGACCTGGCGGTACTGACGTCACAGAGAGACCTGCGAAAGCTGGAACCCGGAGGCGGCAGGAACCTGTCAGAGAAGGAAAACGGGCACTTCCCACGAAAGTCAGCTAAAGAACAAAAGGAGACAGCCGCACTAGGGCGCGCCAGAGGCAGGGACCTGAGAGCCGGACAAACAGGCGCTGTGCTGCGTTCCGGCTCCCACGGGTTTCCCTGTGCCAGCACTCTTCCTGCAGTCGGGGGTCCCTCGGAGCCCGGGCACAGGCACCCACCGGGAGCTCTGCAGAGAAGCCAACGCTCTTCCGGGGACACCGATGCTGCACCACCAAATGCCCTCCTCCCTCCAGGCACAGGGGCTCGCTGGGCCACACCGCAGCATTGCGCCCCTCACCCCGCCGGCATTTTGCTGCTGTACCGCACAACAAACGGCAGGGGAAAGCACATGGGCAAGCTGGCCTTAACCAGGATGTGCCAAAGAATTGTATTGGGGGGTTGGTTCACTGCCAAAATTCTCCTTCCACGCAGGAGACCGGGGTTTGAGTCCTGCCAGTGCACTTCACGCCTGGCCCCTGCCCCGCCCCCTCCGTCTGTCAGTGGAGGTGTGATGTTGCTATCATGCTCAGCAGGTTTTAGGGGAACGTCCGAAGGTCAGCCTGTGAAGAGAGGGACCACAACGGTCTCATCTGCCACTGGCCATGGGAAAGGCCCAGGACAGGGTGGCGTTCTGTGTCGTGAGTTGAGGATTAACTCCGCTCAGTTACCACCACCTCCTCCACTGTGGACTAGGGAGCAGTCAGCCTCGCCTGCACCCAGGTGGGCCTAGTTCGATGATCAGCCTCTATGAGTTCTTCCTCTGTGCTGCCCCCCACCCCCCAGCCTTTTTGCTCCACTTTGCAGTCCTCCGGTCCCTTCATCTGTCCCAGAAGTGGTCCCCATTGAACCTTCCTGAGCATGAGGCGGGACTCAGGGAGCCTTCTGGGAGTCACCAGGCCTGCTGGCCTCTCCACGCTGTGAGGCCCTCAGCACTGGGGGCTGGGGGCTAGGGGCTTCTTGTGCTGCATGCCCTGGTTCTCATGCCCGTCACTGCCTCAGCCTGCCATGGCTGACCTTCCCCAGGCCCCCCTGAGCACCTGACCCACTAGGCTAGGCACGCAGTGGCCTCCCCATGGACAAAGCAGGAGACTGACGTCACTTCAGAGAGCTTACTCTCCTCCCAGGTCAGATTGGCACTCGTCACAAGGGGATTCCTTCTGGGCACAGAGAGATAGCTCCTGCCAGACAGGAAGAAATGGACATGGGCCGGCCCAGCCCTCAGAAGCAGCCTTGCCAGCCCTCCCGCTCCCAAGTCTGCATGCCACCCTCCCCAGATCCTGGGCTTGGACCTCCTTGAGAGTTGCGCACCTCCACCTGCTGTTCCCTAGGAATCTGGGCCAGGCTTTCCCTGCATGATGGCTCTGAGGTGCGACACGCAGCCCAGGCTCACCTGAGAGCCTCTAACTTCCCAGCCGGCTCCCTAGTCTGGATTCAGGAGGCCCAGCAAAGGGCTCAAGCACCAACACCTGCATGACATGGCATACTGGCTCTGCTGCGCTCTATCTCCAACCACAAGGCAGAAGGGAGGCGGCCCTCGGACCCAGTGGGAGCAATGGGGCCAGGGGAACCCAGACATCAGGCAGGGATAGAAAGCCAGGGCTCAGCTCCGCTGCGTGGGTGGCGAAGGGTCGGGGGTAGCTTCAGATGGAACCGAGAGAGTCCCTGCGGTTACGTGCTGTCAGGTCGGTTCCGACACGACCTGTGCCCAACGGGAGGAAACACTGCCCAGTCCTGTACCTTCCTCACAATTGGAGTGCTTGAGCCAGTGTTGCAGCCCTGGTGTCAGTCCATCTCATTCAAGGTCCTTGTGGTAATTACATGATCTGGTGTCAATTTGAGAGGATTACCAGCGAAGGGGTGGAACCTGGCCTGTCAATCAAGATATAACCAAGGAGACTTCTGTGTGGGCATGGCCTTCTCCTGAGAATTCTGGGAACGCCTGTATTTTTCTCCTTGGAGGTGGGAGACACTTCTCCCTCTCTGCTCACTCCCTTGGCAATACTCTACTGACAAGACACATGGCATGATGCTGATAGACCTTGTGCCCTGGGAACTGGAGGAGCCATATGGAGACCCCTGCCAGTGCTGAGATGCTTACAATGCCACTGGATCCAAAGATTTTCTACCCACTGACCTGTGATTGTCCTGCATTTGGCATCATTGCATGTGTTTCATGAGGACTTTATAGATTGGTATCAGACATATGGGCTGATATCGGACTTATGGGCTTGGACTGGACTGGGTTGGGATGCTTTCTTAATGTACAATTACCCTTTATATAAAACTCTCTCTTATACACATGAGTATCGATGAATTTGTTTCTCCAGTCCACCCAGACTAACACAGTCCCCCTCATTATCGCTGCCCCTCTACTTTACCAAGCATGACGCTCTTTTCAGGTCTCTCCTGATCACATGTCCAAAGTACATGAGAGAGACCCCCCACCCAAAGCAGAAGACCCCCACTGGCTGCCGTGCCACGGAGTACTATTGCCAAGAATGCCACCTGGAAGCTTCCACCTTCCTCTTGGGACCTCTGAGACCCTGGCTGTGACACTGTGCCATTTTTGGCAACACGCTAGCTGCCAGGAAGACCAGAATCGGTGACAGCCTCACCTGCCTGCCTATCCCTTGACCCCAAGACATCATGCTCCTGAATCGGTTTCACTGTCATACCGATGATTTCTGAAAGCAGACATACATCCTCTTTGGAATGAGGAAGGGCCACAGATGAAGAAATCACCCCCACAGCACACAGTCCCACCGAGAAGGGCACCAGAAGGAGGCTGAGGACCAGGGCTCCGCAGGTGCCCTCAGGCACTTAAATCTGCAGACCTTAAACAGAACTGGGGACCCAAGATATCTTCATTCCTTGCAAGATGCCTGAAAGTGCTGCTGCCCACGTCAGAACTCCGGTCTCCCCAGGAGACCAGCTGATTGAGGGTCTCCCTGCAAAGTCAAGCCCCCAGCCACCACCTCCAAGTCTCAGGTGGTGGCTGGCATGCCGTGAGCCCCCAGGGTTGCCAGCAAGCCTGGGTGATCAGTGGAAAAGGCAAGGAGTGACCGCTGTCTTCCACAGTGCAGGAACGGGTGTGTGGCCTCGGCTGACAGGTCTGGGTCAGCATAGAACAGGCTGGGAAGCAGGCCACCGCTACTCTGGGAGGAGAGCAGGGAGGGAGAGGCTGGCTGAGGCTTAAAAGCAAGCCCACCGTCATTGACTTGATGCCGACTTAGCACAACACTACAGGTCAGAGGAGAATTGCCCTGACTCTGCAGGAACAGACTGCCCACACCTTTCTGTGGAGCAGTAGCTGGTGGGTTTGAACCACCATCCTTTTAGTTAGCAGCTAAGCACTTGAACCCCTTTAGTAGCCAGGGCTCAGCGTGTGCAAAGCCCCACACCCCCGTACCCCCCAGTCTCACTCTTGCAGGGGCAGCAGAACACACGCTGGGTTAGCAAACACACCCCACACAGCACCCACGTGTTAATGGAAGCCAGCACATGTGTCAGGAAAAGCACACACTTCTGGGGCACTTACATCCACGTCCCGACAGCGGCCAAGGAGAGAGAAAAGAAGATGCTATTAGGGAAGGGCCTCGGATGAGTCGGTCAGTCAGCCACTCACTCTCTGTCTCTCTGTGTGTCACATGTGCACACACACACACACACACACACACACCTTCCCATGTTCCCGTGCATTACACTTTGGACAGCTCTTCCTGTTGAGGCCAGAGGTAAGATGCTGTCCCAGGGACCACACACCAATAAAAAGCAATGTTTAAAAAAAACTTTTTTTTTTTTTTGGTAAAGCAGGGTGAAAGGGAGTGTCTTTTACTCTTTGAAGTTATCTCCCATATATTTGCTTGTTTAATAAGAAGGTTGTAAATAAAACCTCTGTTCCAAACCATAATACAAGTTCAGTTCTCTATGACTTCAAGGCAGGTGGAGAGAAAAGAGGGAAGAGCAGGGGTGGGGACGGAGGAGATAATCATAGAAACACAGAGACCAAGGCAGGAGAAACACTAGAGCGGGCTGACGAGGCCAACACACAGGTGGGTGTGGGCTGTGGGGGCGGGGGGAGTGTTCCCCTGGGCCCCGAGACCTGGGAAGCACAGTTGGTAGGGAGGCCCTAACCAACATCTGTGGCCCCTGGGGCCTCTGAATTCTATTGTCACAGCTGTCGCTGCCCTGTGACCTGTCTGTCACCTCCCAGATGCCCACCTTTCCTTGCCCACAGCTCCTGGATGAAGACCTGGGTCTATAGCCCTGGGAGGATTCCTGCTTCTGCCCAGGGGTGCTGGAGCCCACAAAGCCCCAGGGAGGGCTCCAACCCCCAGCTAGGCTGGCCCAATGGTATGGCCTCCCTTCAGAGCACAGGAGGACCCCTCTGATCATAGTGTCTGAGATCACCCGATATTCTTTCTCCCAGCCTCCAGCCCCAGGGGAGAGAGACCTCCCCCAACACCATCTGCCAGGCCCCTCCCCTCCAAGCCAGTGGCCCAAGGGCAGCTACCCAGCCCCACTAGGCCTCTGTGGAGGTGGCTTGGCGAGCAAGAGCCACAGGGGAAGTGGGTATGGACAGCTGGGCAGACCCAGGGATGACCCTGGGGGTTGAGGGGGCCCTGGAAGCACTAAAGGATGGAGGGAGAAGGGGAGGGAGGGCTGAGTCAGAAACGACTCTGAAGGGGGCGGGGGAGCCTGGTGGGAGCCCACCTCTGAGGGAAGCATCCAGAAGGTCCCTCCATGAATGCTGGGTGTCCTTGCTGTCCTCCTGGCCTGCCCCCAGGCCCCCACAGAGACCAAGCCTTGTTTGTCCCTATAATCAACAGTGACAACCAGACTGGGGCACACTGGAAGCAGCGTCCTACTAGGAAGCCACTAGGGGTCCAGGAAGGCGAGGGCTTCCAGAGGGTAGCACAGAGCAGTCCCCCCACCAGGATGGCACAGAGGAGAAGGCAGCTCATGGGGCACCTCCCAGGCAACAGCATCTCACACCAGCCAGCGGCTTTCTGAAGGGCTCTGGGGCCCAGAAAATCACCGGCTTAAAGGGAGGGCATGTAGGAAAGGAGACTGACCTCAGGAGCCAGGGGCTGGGGGTGGGGAGGTGGGGGTGAGGGTGGGGGGAGAGCGTGGCGGTCTTCCAGGGGCTAGCTGTCCACACTAGGTGTGGGTGGGTAGGCCTAAGGCTAACACGGTAGGTGCATCTGAGCCTGGTGGGAGGGGAGGTCAGACACTGGTCTCCAACGGCCCCCACCTGCTCAGGGTTCCTCTGAGCTGAGTTCACAATGGGCTTAGGGGCTCCCAAACTCTCAGATCTTTTCATCGGCCACAGAGAGCCTCAGAAGTGAAGAGCCAGAAGGCCAACAAGACCTGGGGGTTTTTCAGCACGTTTCAGGGGCAGCAGGATTAGCAGCACGTGTGTGTGTGTGTGTGTGTGTGTGTGTGTGTGTGTGTGTGTGTGAGTATGATGTGAGCATCTCCCTCCCCTCACTGAGACAGCAGGCTGCTGACCAGTGGGGGGCCTGAGGCAGCTCCTCCAGGGGCTGACAGGCCAGCTGAGGTCCAGTGCCCTCTAGTCCCCAGGGTCTATGGGGGAACCAGCAGGGGCAGCAGGCCATGAAAGAGCAACCTGGCCAACCTCGGGGCTGCCCTGGCCCTGCCAAGCCGTACTCACAGGCAGGGAGGGCAGCAGCGGGGGGTCCCCATCCAGAACTGGGGGTCCCCAGTCTATAACCACCCACAAGAGTAAGTCTCTACAAAGCCCCTTCACAAAGCAGCCACTTTCACAACAGCACAACAAGGTAGGGAAGCGGATCGTCACCCTCTTTCTAAAGGGGAGGAAACCGAGGCTGGGAGTGGTTAGGGGACTCACACACCAGTGGTCAATGGCAAAGCGGGAACAGGGCTCCCTTGGGCACACCCAGACAAGACACCCCTGGGATGACTTTGTCACCCCACAGTAGCTCGGCAATCACTGTATCCTCTCTACCCAGAGGGCACCTGGCATGGTTTAAAAAGGGCACCTTCCTGTGCTGCCCTTCCTTCAAGAAATGGAGGTTCATTCCCTTTTCCACATATGTGGGTGAGCATCTCACTGCGGACAAATACACAAAGGCAGAACTAGCGGCCTGTGGCGTCAAAGACTGGGCCATCAAGGGTGCTGCAACTTCCTGCTCCTTCTCTCTCTCTTGGGTCACCATCTCTGGGCAGAGCTGCTGCCATGTGGTAAGGAAACTCAAGAAGCCTCTAGTCAAGAGCCGGGAAAGTGCAGGCTCTGCAGTGCTGCTCCAGGCTCAGCCAGTCCTTCTTCCTTCCCATGGCTGCAGTCCTGGCCCACTTGGTGACTGCACCCTGCGGAGAACCCAGAGCCAGGCCTCCGGGTTACATGGCTCTCAGTTTCTAGCAGGACCTGGAAGACCATCACTGCGTGTTGCTTTAAGGCACAGGTTCCCAAACATTTGGTGTATTGCCCCTTTCAGAAAAAAAAAAGTACTCAACACCCCCCTGGGCAACTAAAAACATGTGTACTATTGCCCCTAATTCAAGATAAAAGTATAGGTGTCTGCTTAAGCAGCCCCGCTGGGTCGCTCCAGCACCTGGGGAGGGGTACTGCCCACTTTGAGAAGCACTGCTTTAAGGGCTCCCCATCCTGAGCCTGTCCCCCCACGCCATGCAGCTGAAGGGAGCCCCATGGTGAGGCGCCAGTCCCAGTTAGACCCTCCCCCAGCGGCAGCCCGAGCACACTGCAGAGAGGCTGACCACTTGCTTACCTTTCCAGGTCCTGCAGGTGGGACAGCAGGTACACACTGTGGGGGCGGGAGCACCATCAGTGACCACCCCCCACTCATAGGAGGCAGCCGCAGGAAAACTGGGGGGATCCCAGTGAGGTGTGGGGTCCCCGTGTCCAACATAGAGACATCACAGGGTGAGGGGCAGGGACCCCTTCAGAGGTGGCCTCCTCTCAGTGCTAGGAAACGTTCTTGGCCGCACGGAGGCCTGCAGCCCAGGCGAGAAGTGACATGAGTCACAGCTTCCTCCAAGAGGCGACCCCAGCACCCTCCCCCAGAAGGCCCCCCACCTCTGTATGCCTCCCAGTTCAGAATCACCCACACGGATGCTCAGACTGACCTCTGAGTTGCCAAAGCACTTGAAGTCTGGTCACTAGGCTGAAGGCCAAATGAAGATGCAGGCCTCGGCGTCCCACTTAAATAAACCTGCCATTGGGTGGACTCCGGAGTGTATGAGAATAGAGCTGTGGGTCCTCATGCAACTTCCAACAGCTGGTAGTCTTTTTTTGTGGGGGGCGATAGATAATAGATTGCCAGGCCTTTCTTCTGAGGCACCTTTGCTGTGCTTGACCCTGCAGCTTTGGGGTGAGCAGGTGAATGCATTAACCCTGTGCACCACCCAGGGACTCCTTATACAGCAGGTGCTCACTACATAGATCCTTGCTGATGGAACAACTCCAAGTTCACGGAAGGCAGGACCATTCTTTGTACTCTGGTGTCTAAGTGCCAGGCACAGAACAGGTGCTCAGGATGTGGTGTCTGCCCAAATGTCGAAACCCCAGGAGGGGACCGGGCTGGGTGCCTGTGGTGGGTGCAGTGGGCAGGGGCGACTCGCAGGGTCAGCCGGCCAGGAGCTGCCAGACCTGCACCTAGGCCGCCACAGTCAGTGTGCACGTTCCTCTCTCCCTCCTGCTCTGCCCGCTCCCTCCAGTCTTTCCAAAACCTGCCGAAGCCAAGCCGGTCTCATGCAATGACTGCTGCTGGTTTGTAGTTCAAGGACTCTAGGTGCACGGCAGTGGTGAGATGGTCAGCTGCTAACCAAAAGGCTGTTGGTTTGAAGCCACCAGTCGCTGCTCCCTGGGAGAAAGAGGGGTCCTTCTGCTCTCAGAACCATGTACAGTCCTGGGAAGTGTAGGGGGCTGTTCTGTGGTGTCCTACAGGGTCCCAGGAGTCGGAACAGACTCATGGCAATGGGAATGCAGGCATCTTACGCCCATGCCCCATTCACATCTGCCTTCTCCCTGAGAAGCTGCAATTCCGTGTTTTAATGTGAATTTTGTTGTCTTGATGTGTTCTTGCATACTGCATAATCTTAATTTTGCACCATGGGCCTATGTTTTTATCTTACGTAAATTGGTAGGTAGCATCTCTTTCTGTTTCCTATAGTTTTCACTAAGCCTCATGTTTCTAAGGTCCATCTCTGTGCAATGGCTGCAGAGAGCTCTCCAGGTGCCATCACCTGCTCTCGCCCAGGGTGCCCTCTACTCCCGGCCCCAGTCCAGGGTCTCCAGCTCAGCTCTGCCCAGCCCTAAGCAGCAAATCAAACAGGGACCCCCC